GTGGCAGGTCGTCTACAGCCCTGCTCCCAAAGAGAGCAATAATACACGTATCAGTCATGCTAACAGAGCAAAGGAGATCAATGTACTCCCACAGGAAAAAAGAGACTTCGGTGCTCCTGACTTCAGAAGTTTTTAGATCTTAAACAGCAGTTTCACGGTGCTACGGAACTGCACAACTTAGAAAGGCAGAAGCAGAAACTGTAGGCAGGGACTTTGGAGAAGGAAGAAACTCTCCACGGAGAACGACCTCAAAAGAAAAATACCACCTCATTTTTAGTAACCGACAAAGCAAGAGAAAAGAAAGCCTGTAAATTTCCAGGGCACCCACTATGTGCTGGACGCAACCTGGGGGACTGTGGATTTCTACTAGGTGGTTGAGAAAGTTATGACGTGTTTTTCTATGCAAAAAAAGTCAGGACTTCCCTGACATTCTGAGAGTTAATTTGTTCATGAAAAAGGACTTGGGGGATTCTGCTTCATAGACATTCTCTGCAGCTCACTAGACCAAGCCAGCCCTCTGTGTGGAAGAAAGACAACTGATTATTCACTGCTCTTAATCAGATATTTTAAAATTTGCTTTCCTTTCCTCTTCACCACCAGAAAATTCAGAAAAAGCAAAGCAAAAATAAAGAATTTAGGGACAAAAAAGAAGAAATGATCATGACCTGTAATAAAATAGAAATTTTCCTTGATCAAAAACCTACTTCAGGGGGTTAGCAAGTGGCATGGTGGTTGAGGTACTGAACTCTCACATGGTCGACCGCAGTTCAAGTCCTGGACTTGGTGGCTTGCTTTTCCACTTTCCCTCTCTCTTACTCTCTGTCTCTCTCTGGTCATATTAAAATAATAATAAGGTTAAATTAAATAAATAATTCTTCATAGTTGCCAAGTGCATTAATATTTTTGATCCTTCAGTACAAACACAGTATCGACACATTGCAGTTGCCAATTATGACTGAATTGGTTTTAAGCTTATGATCAACACCATAAAGAAGTATTTCTTACATGGCCACGGGCACCCAGCTCTGAATGGACCAGTCAGCTAACTGTATGGCTAAACTATTAAAACCTACGAAACACAGGCCACGATTAGAGCACTTTCCACTATATTGAGTTGGAGAGGAAAGACAAAAGTGACATACCTATTCCTTTCCCTCCTTTTCATGAGATTTCCTGCAGAATCAGTGGTCTGGGTTTACACTGGGCCTTGTAGGAATCTTGCTAGCTGGGAATCTTAAGTGTGTTTGCAAAATCAGGACCAATTGAAGTCTCTCGGGATCCTCTTCCCCCTACAGAAGCAAATGATAAAGTGTCATAAGGCAATGGAAACAGCTGCAAGTCACATTCTTCCATTTAAAGAAAGAAAAGCAGGAGAACCAGCAGATGGTATAATGGTTACGTTGCTGGACTCCCAAGTAGTTGAACGGGGTTTGAGTCCCAGAGCTGGCGGCTTCAAACTCATGCTGGGTGCGTGTGTGTGCGTGTACCCAAAATCCCTAGAGGAGAATGGAGAAGGGACTGCAGAGTAGCCATCCTTCCTGGGATGATTTCTTGCTTTCTGTCTCTCCAGTAAGTGCACATGCCCTATAGCAAAAAATCTCTTTAAAAAAAAAAAAAAGCAGACATTGATCATCTTTAGCTCAGTAAAAACATTAGCTGGTACAGGTGTCTCTACCTGCTTGATCACAGAATCACCTGAGATGCCTGTTAAAAATATAGAGTCCGGGGCCAGCAGGTGGCATAGAAGTTGAGGCGCTGCACTGGACTCCCATATGGTCAACTGTGGTTGAGTCCTGGGCATAGCAGCTTGCTTTTTCACTCTCTCTCTCTCTCTCATGCCCTGCAGTGAATTGAAAGATAACAATAATGACGTATAAAATAAATAATTCTTGTGGCCAGCAGGTGGCGTGATGGTTATGGGCACTGGACTCCCACATGGTCGACCACGGTTCAAGTCTCAGACCTGGCGGCTTGCTTACTCTTTCTCTCTCTTGCTCTCACTCTGTCCCTTTCTGGTCAAGTTAAAATAAATAAATAAATTTTAAAATAAATAAATAAATAGATAATTCTTTAAAAAAAGAAAAAGATTTCTTGGCAAGTAGGTGACATGGAGTTTAAGGTGGCTGGATCCCACATTGCTGACAGTGAGGTACAAGATATGAATCGAGCAGCTTGAAAAACACAGTGGGGTGCATGTGCATGCATACCCCAAATCCTGAGGGGGATGGAGGAGGGGATGGGACTGTGGCATAGCCATTTCTCCTGGGGGGCGGGGGGGTGCGTGTTTTCTCACTCCTCCACCTACCCCCTCCAGCAAGCACACAAGCCCTATAGCAAAACTAAAAAAAAAATAATTCCCAAGCTCACCTTTTACCTTTTCTATTTCTGATCTCACCCCAGTGAAAAGGAAAAAATAATAAAAGAAGAAAATATATTATCTAACAAAGATAAGTGGGTTTCTGTTAAGTTACCTGTTTTCTGAGTAACTCTAGCAATAGGTGTTTGAGTAGATATTTTCACTAATTAATCCTAAAAAAGAGGGAACCAGCAGTTAGCGTAATGGCTATGTCGCTGGACTCCCATGTAGTCGACCGCGGTTCGTGTCCTGGACCCGGTGGCTTAAAACTCACGCTGGGCGCGTGTGCGTGCGTGCCCAAGATCCTGAGAGGAGAATGGAGGAGAAGGGATTGCGGCGTGACCATCCCCCCTGGGGGGTGATTTCTCGCTTTCTGTCTCTATGTCTCTCTCTGTCTGTCTGGCGAGCGCAGGCGCCCTACAGTGAAAATCTCTCAAAAAAAAAAAAAAAAAACTCAAACATTTCTTTCTTTCTTTTTTAGTAAAATGACCTCAGTAACCAACCAAAAATCCATGTAGACATGCAGAGAAGCCTCAAGTTCTCAAAAGAAAAAGGGAGCTTTGAGGGCCTCCCAAACATCCTCAATCTTTTTTTTTTTTCTAGGGGGGAGGGTTAATCAAGGGTCCTGGCTTTTCTTTTCCATAGTGTATGAGCAAAGAGAACTCACAGACTGGATCCCTTTTACTTAAAAAGTTACTTAAGCCTTCAGAAGACAGAATTTCTTTCCCAATTCCCAAAAGATAGAAAATTATACCTTAATGAAAAGGACTGTTAACTGAAAGGAGGATAATAAGTCATCCAAGTTTATTTACAACTCCAATACCGAAAGCAATAAAGCTAAATGCTTTGCAAGCTTACAACTTCGTGAATTAATGTCAGGTAGTTCTGAGACACTCATACCAACATAAACTATGTAAATCACTTCTATAACTGATTAAAAACAAATTCTAAACGTAGGCGGGTCATAGAGATGAACACAGAAAGTTCACGACGATGGCCTCTGGCCTCCACTAACATCTGTAAACTACACTCCCCCTCCAGAGAATGCAAGGGGATCTGTTTACTCCAGCCACAGAAGAAAGGAGTTAAAGGCTGCAGGTGCTAAGAGAAACCATTCCGGAGCTCATGGACCAAAGCCAAGGTCACAGCCCATTAGAATGAAAAGTGAGATCCAAGTACATCCAACCTAGGAGACCTGGGTTCTTCCTGGACTTAAAACATCAGGTAAAAAGGGTTCTCCAGGCACAGGTGCAGGGACGTGGGTCCCCAGCCCTCTAACCGGCATAATATAATAACGTGAGGACAGCCTCGAACTCAAGACGCTTTGGACGCCAGAGCCTGATTCTGCGGGTCTGACGCAAACTTCACTATCCAGGAGTAGGCGCAGTGGAGTCAGGTTCGAATCCCGACTCTTCCACTTACTGGCCTTGCGTCCTTGGCCCACTCACAATGGCTCAGGGTTTCTGGCTCCTCACACGCAAAAAGGGAACTATACAGAGGCTGGTGTGAAGAAAAGAGGAGGTGTAAATAAACAGCAGGGTGACCCCCATTACTTTCATCATTGGAAATCCATAGAGCTGGCCCCGGTAAATGAATCCAGCCGGGGCTCAGAGTTGGAGTGTCGGAAATGCAAACATTCTCAGGGGACCAAACGAACTCAAGAACCAGAGTGGGCCGGCGAGACCTTTGTCCACGCTCCGCTCCGCCTGCCGCCCGCGGTCCGCGCCA